GTCTTCTGCTCAGTGCTGAGAGAACAGAAAACAGAACCGGATATCTGCTTAGGTCATGCCCCATAATACATATCATAACTTTGCTGCAGGTCCATGAAATGCAGGTGACTTCATCCAGTGTCTGGAAGGCTCCCAGGTGTCCCATTGGACCCTCTGCTGTGTGGAGGATGTGATGTGGGAGACACTTGATGGAAAGTCAAGTGAATCAACTGTCAGATCCTTCTGGAATGCAAGAATACCATTCTTAGAAAATGAAGACTATTTCCCAGTAGTACCAAACACACATGTGCTTTGTTCTTTATGTTCCAATCCACAGCACTGGGGAACCACCCAGAAGCATAATATAGTCACCATTAGCAGGGCATTTGCATGTTGTTCAACGTGGAGCAATATTTGGCAAAGTTAAATAATAAGTATTACTGTTAAATAGTAGATATGTATTTGTGACATGTGAAACATTGGCAACTAGGTGGACACTGAAAAGTAGTGCTGTTAATAGTTTCATCTTTTATTGAAAAATTATCAGTTCTAATTAAATTTTCAAATATTAAATACAATTTTAAGCTTTAAGCAATTTCCATTGAAAGTTGATATTCACTCATTGTGTTTTACATTTTAAGTGTAATAGATCTCTGAATCATTGGAGGAAAATAACTATAGGAAAATATAAAAAATGGACACTTGATGAAACATATGTAATCCAACTTTGCATAACTTGGACACATAAGTCTTTTAAGATCATGGTTGTCAGAACTGTTTGCAGTGATGAAAATGTTCTATATGTGTGCTGTCCACTAGCCATGTACGCTGCTTGAAATGTGATTACTATCACTGAGACAAGGCTGAACTAAAGCTGGGAGCCATTGCCTCATGCCTGTAATCCCAGCCACAAGAAGATCTGAGGATTGAGGTTCAAAGCTAGCTCAAGAAAATAAATTCCCTCATTTCAATTATCAGCCCAAAGCTGGAAGTAGAGGTGTGGCTCAAGTGATATAGGACCAGCTATGAGCAAAAATATCTAAGAGAGAATTTGAGGCCCCTGAGTTCAAACCCCAACACACACATACACAATGATTGAACAGAAGGCTGGATATGGTGATTTATACTAGTCATTCTAGCTACATGGAAGGTGGAAATCGGAGGATAGTGTTTCAAGGCCAGTTCAGGCAAAAATGCAAGATCCTATTTACAAAAAAAAATTAACCTAAAGTATAAAGGGCTGGAGTGTGACTCAAATGATAGAGCACTTGTCTAACTAGCTCTGAGTTCATATCTCAGTGTTTTCAAATAACAAAAATAGACTGAATCAAGAGTAGATAAATGGGACTTTATAAAAGCCTAGCTTTAGATCATCACTACTAACAGGATGTGAAAAATCCTCATTATAACAACATAATTAATGATTTTACTAAGATAAAGGGGAATACCAATTTTCTGGAATACAAGACAACATGGATTATGTATGTCTTTTTACTTATCCACAGAGTCACCCTGTGTCTTAACAGACAATCCAGAAATGCATTAACAATATATTCAATTTGTCTCTGATGTCTTTCTGTCTTTTGTTAAATGAAAACTATAGGAAGGAGGGTAAAATATGAAGAATTCTGATATGGGCAAACAGTAAGTATGTTGAAGGTCCCTGTTCAATTCCCTACTAAGTCGTTTCCCAAAAAAGAAAAGAAAAACTATAGGGTTTCTTATTTTTACACTTGGTTCTGTCACAATGTATTAGGAAGATATAGAATAATATTTATTTCTTTTGGTGTTACTGGGGTTTGAACTCAGGGCTTCATGCTTGGTAGTTTGGTGCAATGCATCTGAAACACATATTCAGCCCAACAACTTAGCAGTATTTAGACATAAGGTTGATGGTTCTTCCTTTGTCCTCTTCTCTAAGTTCACCAATATTAGTAGCTGACTTGATCACACCAATCACTCTGCAAATGTCATTCTTGTCCCCAGAGAGTCAGGAGTGACACATGGTTGGATTGAACTGTGAAATCTCTACTGCTATAAACACAACTCACAGAAAATGTCCCCCTGGGAGGATTCCTTCAGGGCCTTTCCTTGAAGAAGTGCAATGCATTCATTTTCAATGGAGGCCTTCCACTGAAACTCAAAGACTGCTTTGCACAGCTACCTTTAAGGGGGCAGTAAAGAAACTGCAGTTATCCATTACTCTGCTGGGTGCCATTGTAATACTAGCTACTCAGGAGACTGAGATCTGAGGATTTTTGTTTGAAGCCAGCCCTGGCAGCAAAGCCCAAGAGACTTTTATCTCCTATTAACCACCAAAAAGCTAGAAGTGGAGCTGTGGGTCAGCTGTAGATGGTTAGCCTTCAGTGAAAAACCTAGGGGACAGCACCCAGGCCCTGAGCTCAAACCCCAGTACTTCCACAAATTAAGTATAACAAAATGATTACCCTTTGCATTTTTAGATGGATTTTAGGCTAAAAAGAGCAGAGGTAACTCTGCACTATGTGGGAACAACAGAGCTCAGGACATCAGAAATCTACATAACCTTCTACTAAGTACCAAGGCAGTTTTTAGTAGCAGCACTCTGATTCCTAAACCTCAGGGGGACTCCAGGGGATCTCAGAGGCATGACCTGCTCATTAACATTCTATATTGACTTCTCTGCTAGGCTAGCTCATTTTCTCTCCTTGCTGGGATCAATTCTCCAGTCAAAAATCACTTGTACTTAAATCCTAACCTTTGGGTCTGTTTCTGAGGGGGCCCAGCCCAAGGAAGCTTCCAGCATTTTGCAGTGCCAGCTGGACACTATGGCTCTAATAGATTTTTTGCTGAAAAAAATTAATATACTTGGTGAATGGAACCTGCAAAGTTACTCAGAAGCAAGGATGCTGGGTTGGCTTTTACCACTTTCTCTGGATCCTAGGCTCCCACTAGTATGAAACTCTATTAGGAAAGCTATTGCCTTAAAAAAAAAAAAAGCACATTTGAGCTCTAGCAGAGCAGTTTCATCAAAATGGGAAAGCTACAGTTGCAGTCTGGACCGTTGTCACTTATTGATCTTTTTAAAGCATGAGATTCTTTTTCCTATCAAACTTCAAAATTTCATTTCACATTTTAAGATAAGGCTCAACAGGTACATATTTGAATAAAGGAGCATGGTAATATAAGGTCAGATTAGGACGTCAATAACTAATGGGGAAAGACTTGGAAACAACCCTTCTCATAAGGACTTAGTAAGCAGACGTCCAGAAGGAAGAGTGCTAGTTGTTGAAAGATATTCTTGCTGCTGGTTCTGGGGCTTCTGGAGACTGGGTTAACAGGAGCTTTCTGGGATCTTTAAAGCATCCCAATAGGTGCTTCATAAACTGGGGAGCACTGAAAAAGGAGCCTTGGGATAGCACTGGAGAATCCCTGGCTCCCTGCTATGAAGAACTCCCCAGATCAAAACATTTCAGATCAGATTTTCCCAAGTACCCTATTGCATGCAGGTGAGCTGTCTGGTGTGGCTTCAGGTGTTGATCCCGAAAGAGGATTACTTTTTGGAAAGTTACAATTTAAATTTAAATCTTTACTTTTGACGGAAGCACGAGAGGAGGCATCTTTATTCGCTTAATAAAACAATCATCTCAGACCCCCAGATGGCAAAGTAAAAGATGAAATGACCATTCCATTCACGCTCCACCTTTCTTCATCCCTCGTTGTTCAGCAATTTGCACCGGATTCAAAAAATGACGGGCTAGGTCCAAAGCCTGAGGTCTGCGTGGCGGCGGCCTCCACGCACCGCCGTGGCTCGCTCGCGGCCCACTCGGGACTCTGAGACACCACGCAGCAGCAGAGGCGCGCCCGGCTTTCCGGCCGCCGGGCCGGGCCGGCATAGGCTGGGCGCCGGGCGGCTCTCTCGGCGCTGCCGGTTCTCGCCAACCAACTTCGCTCCGCCGGCGCACAGCCCCGGCGGCGCGGAGCAGCCGCAGCCCTACGGAGCCTCGGCTATCGAGGCAACAACCGCAGCGATCCCCGCGAAAGCCTTTCCCGCCGCTGCCAGGGAGCGCGGGCGCTGGAACTCCGCGCGCAGCTGGCCGTGCTCGGTGACACTGCCTTCCGGACCTCGGCGCCGGGGAAGGGAAGGAGCTCCAGGCCGCGGCTCCCGCCCCGCCCCACCCCGCGGCGCTCACAAACTCCTCGCGGCTCGTGACCCGGGACAAACTTCTGGCGGAGGCGCAGCCCCTCGTACAGCCACCCTCCGCAGCCAGCCGCCGGGTAGACGACGGCCTGGGCAAGGAGGGGCTGAGCGTGGCGACCCCGGCGGCCGCTCCTCCCCGCCCGGGTCACGCCTCG